CCGACCCCTGCCCTCCCCTCCACCCTCCACCCTCGGCTCAGTGGTGGTGCCCGGACCTATGAACCAGGAGGTCACAGTTCGATTCCGGTCAGGGCACATGCCCAGGTTGCGGGCTCGATGCCCAGCGGGGATCAGTGTGGGGCGTGCAGGAGGCAGCTTGTCGGTGGTTCTCTCTCACCATTGATGTTTCTCTCTCTCCCTCTCCCTTCCTCTCTGCCGGGTTCTCCGTGGCGCCCGGGACACTGCTCCAGATTGAGGTCTAAGAAGGAGTTTGTCTGGCCTGAGAGCTGTCACCTTGGATTTGCATGTCGGTGCCCTTCAGTCAACCTTGGGTTGTTTGTGTTTTGTTTTTTTAAATGAAGTGGAGAGAACAATGGTAACCTTGTTCAAAGAAAATGGGGAAGAGACGCATTTATGTCAAGACCAGGGCTGCCAACCTTGGCTTTGAATCCAGAGCCTCGCAAAGGGTCTGCCTTACAGACTGGCTTGAGGTGCTGCTCCCCAGCCAGCAGCTGCCTGCGGCCGTGAGGATGGAAGTGTCCGGAGGAACCCAGGGGTGAGGAGTGACAGCCTCTCGGAGGGTCCAGAACCGGGGCTCCGGGCTCGGGTCCTGTGCGGCCGCTTCCTTCTCACTTTCTCAGCCCACGTGGTGGGGGCCGGCCGCCCCCTAGCGCCTGTTCTGGGGACTGTCGGCTCTCTGTGCTCCCAGGGTTTCATTTTGGGGGCCGAGGTTCTCACCCACTTGGGTGCTTTCTCCATCCCTGGCCAGGGGTCTGGGTGACACGGTGGGTGACATCCTGGGGTCCACCCTGTGCCTAGGAGGAGGTCAGTCTCAAGAGAAAGAGGGGGTCATCGGCTCCTGAGATGGCAGGCACCCCCTGAGTATTCACTCTGAAGGAATGCCACCCCAGGCGGGGGTTGGGGGCTCGATCCCCAGTGTGGGGCGTGCAGGAGGCAGCCGATAGATGATTCTCTCTCATCATTAATGTTTCTATCGCTCTCTCTCCCTCTCTCTCTGAAATCAATGAAAATATATTTAGAACAAAAAAAAAAGAGAATGCCCGCCAGTGCACGGGGAAAGCTGGGGATGGATTTGTGCTGCTCTGTTTAGTAGAAAGACAGTGCATGGGCTCGGGATGGGTCTCCCGAGCTGCCCTTTAAGCTGATAATTGAGCTCAAGCTCCAAGGGCAGCGCGGAAGCCGAGGTGTTACCCGCTTGGCAAACAGCTGCTGCTCCTGGGCTGGCTCTTGGATTCGCCTCCACTTCCCGCCCCCAAACCTCAGAGGCCCCTGGATGCTTTCCTTGCCAGCGTCCAGCACCTGCCTGGCTGTGAGCGGGGGCAGGTGCGGCGGGTGGGCTGGGCCGGTCCACCTGTCAGCCCGCAGCGCCACCCTGAGGACACACAGCACCGGGCCGCTCTCTGCAGGCCCATCGAGGGGCAAGAGACAGCGGCCCCCGCCCAACCCTTCAGCCCACAAATGCCACCTCTATTTTTACGGGAAGTCTTAGCAATGACCCAGGTCGTGACAACATGACGCCACTCTATTTCATTTTACTTCCCTGTAATTAAACACACCTGGGATTGCTAAGGCGCTGGGTGTTTATCCAGGCATTACCGATTCTCAGGTGGGGTGTTTGCTGAATGTTCAAATTGCTTCCGTCCACATGCTGAGTGGGTTTATACACCATGGGCTGGGCTGGGCTGGGCTGGGCCGGGGTGGAGGGTTTTTTTTTTCTATTAAGAGCCTGTAGGTCAGAGGACCAGGCAAAGCCAGAAGCAGTTTAGTTTCCTAATTCTGACCTATTTGGGAGGTAAGAATATAAAACGTTGCACTTTGAAAAATAAATGTATCATTAGCAAGGATCACACTGCTCTAGTCCATAAATGAAACAATTTGGCATCCTCCTCCCTCTAAATTCTTTGGTTTTTGCTCGTTTGTTAATCCTCACCGAGGATATTTCTCCATTGATTTTTAGGGAGAGTGGAAGAGAAACATCGATGTGAGAGAAACACATCGATTCGTTGCCTCCTGCACGTGCCCGGACCGGGGCCCAGGCCAGGGAGGAGCCTGCCACCAAGGTACTTGCCCTTGACCGGAATCACACCCGAACCCTTTGGTCCGCAGGCCGACGCTCTGTCCACCGAGCCAAACCCGCTAGGGCCTCCCTCTAAATTCTTAGGTAAACATCACACGAGGGGGAACCTGGGAGCAAAGGCAAGACTAAATGTTCAAAACTCATTGAGGCCTGAAGCCTTGGCGAGACAGCGATCTTTCCCGGGAAGGGAATGCGGTAGCGAGAGAGTCGAGGACCGTGTGGCCCTGCAATGTCCCCAGGCCCCATTCAGATGACCAGGAAGTGGAGACAAATAAGACGGTTGGTTCCCACCCACAAAAAATTCAGAAAAAAACAACTTTGGGTTGGTGGCCTCGTGTCCCGGCGGCTGCGATAGAGGGCGGGGTGCTACCCGCCTGGGGTCCTGGCTGAGGCGTGGCCGCTGGGTCTGAGCTGAAGTGAGGAGGTGACCTTGGACTAGTGTCCTGACCTCCTGGATCTGTACGAGGAGGTGAGGGTGATGATAGTGTCCACCTGAAAGGCTTGCTAGACGGTCAGGGACCGAGGCCGAGGCCGCGGCCTGGCACTGGGTTCGAGATGTTCAGCGTTAATCAGCCTCCCCTCACGACCGGGCGGCCTTTTCCCCGTTTTAGGCCGTGGCTCGCTCTCTCCCTTTGCGATGCTCCCGCTGCCTCCATGTCCCGGCTCAGGCAGGTGCGGACGCTGCCTTCTCCCCGTCCCACCCTGGGCCCCGGCTGGAACGAGTCTTGTCCACAGGCTGCCCCACCTTGGACGTCAGGGTGGTTCCTTATCCCTCCTGCGGTGACCACACCATCCCACAAATCTGTTTAACCTTTTGAGCCTCCTCCTCTTCATTTTGTAAACAAATAATCAGAGATAACACACAGAAAACCCCTGGAGCCTAGGTTACTATCTGCAAATCTCCTCCAACTCTGATATGATCGTGCCATAAAAGTGCCATAAAAGTGCCATAAAAGTGCCATAAAAGTGCCAGACACTTTGATAATGAGTGACCTTCACACATCAAAGTTTCCTGACCTTGGAATGCCATAAAAGTGCCATAAAAGTGCCATAAAAGTGCCAACGGACGCTTTGATAATGAGTGACCTTCACACACCAAGGTTTCCTGACCTTGGATACTCTCCTTCCCCGTGGGGTTGGCGGTTTACAGCTCCCTCTCTGTCTCTTTCTTTCTTTCTTTCTTTCTTTCTTTCTTTCTTTCTTTTTAAGAATCGATTACTGATTTTTAGGGAGAGGGGAAGAGAAAGAAACATCGATGTGAGAGGACACCTCCGTTGGCTGCCTCCTGCACGCCCCAGCGGGTACCTGGGCGGTTCTGGGGCTCGGATCCCTCCACGGACCGGGCTGAGCTGCCCTCCACAGCATCCTGGGCTGTGGAGGCCCCGGGTGGGCAGAGGGCACTGGCCTTCTTCCCAGGGACACGATCCCAGGGTCAGTGCCCACCCCCTTCCACCTTTAGGACGCTCCGGACCAGAAACAGGGCCGGGTACTCGGTCTCCTTCCGAGGAGGCCAGGGACCCTGGTCACGATTCCCCCACAGCTCACCCCCACTTCCACTCCCAGAGGGCCGGCGCCCCAAACACTCTCATTCTCTGAGCTTCTCTCCCTCCCTTAGCTTCTTACTTGTTGGCTTTTTTTTTTTTTAATTTTTTTATTGCTTAAAGTATTACAAAGGGTATTACATATGTGTCCTTTTTTTCCCCGCCCTTGACAATCCCCTGGCCTCCCCTACCCCGCAGTGTCTTATGTCCATTGGTTATGCTTATATGCATTTTTTTTTTTAAGGGAGAGAGAGAAAGAGAAAAACATCGATGTGAGAGTGAAACATCCATCACTCGGCTGCCTCCTCCACGCCCCCTAACTGGGATTGAGCCCACAGCCTGACTGGGAATCATACAGGCAACCTTCCGGTGCCTGGGACGACACCCAGCTACTGAGCCTCAGCGGACAGCGCACCTTACCTTCTTATGTAAACCAGATCGAGTCAAGTTCTTGTCATTTGCAGTCAAAAGACTTCCAACATATACAAACCCATATTTAGGCCTACACAAAAGTAAATTTCAGGTAGAGTAACTATTTGAGCTTACGTAGCAAAAGTAGAAAATATGGAAGACAATTTATGTCATTTTGGACTGGGGCAGACTTTCCTAGGAATGCACAAAGTCTAGTGGCCATAAGGGAAAAGATAGACAAATTTCATCTATATAAAGTTATTGGTGTGTGACATAATGTGGACCAATGTGTATCTATCCATCTGTCACCCACCTACTTCCCTACCTATCGACCCCTCCGTTTACCCACACGTTAGGGCTTGCATAGCATGCGGTAAAGAGCACAGGCTATGGTCCCAAACGCTGGGTTTGAATCCGCCCTGCGACTTGCTCGCAGGGTGAGCTGGGTGACTCACTTAAGCTCTCTGTGTTTCAGGATGCGCAGAATCATAAGCATTAGGGAGTTAATTCACAGAAAGCACTTAGGATCCTGCCTGGCACCTAGAGAGTTCTACAGAAGTGTTAGCTACAATAACATCATAACTACACATACACCCAGGTATTAAGCGTGCTCACCCCAGAAGAGTGGGTAGAGATGGGGTGTAATGGAGAGACCCTCCCTTCTTGCTCCACCTTTCTGTATTGTTGTAAACTTCATGAGAACCTGCATTGCTGTCAGATTTTAAGAAGAGTGAAACACAATTTTAAAAATTGAGTCTAGAAAGAACAGGGTCTCTCACTGCTGGAGATGTGTTTATTCTCTAAGAAAACTGGTCTAGCCCGGCCAGTGTGGCTCAGTGGTTGCACATCAACCAATTCCCAGTCAGGGCTCATGCCCGGGGTGCTGAGGGCTCGGTCCCCAGTGTGGGGTGTGCAGGAGGCAGTTGATCAGTTATTCTCTCTCATGGTTGATGTCTCTCTCTCTCCCCCTCTCCCTTCCTCTCTCTGAAATCAATAGAAGGAGATATACATGAAAGAAAACTGGTCTAGAAAATCCTTTCCAAGGATTCTCGAGGCCCAGCGTTGAAGCTGCCTCCCGGCGTGACGGACTCTTGGGGAGAGTATGGTTATGAAGTGAATGAATGAATACACGGGGTAAGTCTTCTGCTTCGAGACACTGAATGGCACGTGAGAACTTAACCCCAGAGCTGCCCTGAAAACTCACAGTCCCGGGGGGACATACACCTGCTCTCGAACCCCTGCCTGCGTGCCCGTGGCACCCCCTCTCCCACCGCCTCCACGGTCCCCAGGCTTCCCGGCCCGCGGCCCCCACGAGGGCACAGCCGTGTCTCCGAGTTCCCCAGTCCTCCCTCCAGAGTTTTCTGTTTCCTCTAACAAATGAGGAGCTTGGACAAGGCCAGGCTCTTACCTGGTGGGCTTTGTATTCGGCTCCTTCACGAAGGCGGGCAGGGTGAACAGGAGGAAAAGCAACCCGGCCAAGAGCAGGAGCCAGCGGGCAGCGCGGCCCAGGTGGGCGAGTCTCCGCAGGTGGGGCCTCATGGTGGCGGGTCGGGCCCTCAGGAAGCGTCTGCATGTCCCGGGGCCTTGGCATGGACCGCAGCAGCGAGAGGAGAGGCTCGGGCGTCCTGGCCGGGGAGGGCACGCCCTTTGTCCTCATGGAGCCACCGGGAGGAACCCCGCCGCCGTGGAGAGGTGTCTGCCAGGGGAGGAGGGGCCACTTCGCTGCGCGGAGGCTCCAGGCCGGCCTGGCTCGAAGGAAAACTCCTTTTGTTCAGACACGTTCCCCTTCCTTCTCTTTGTCCTGAAGCCAGTCTCTGAACGGAGGACTTCATGTAAAGCAAACACGCGTTACGTGGGGGGAACCTCGCTTTCATCAGCAGGTTCCACACCCGTGGGGACCCCGGACGGGTGCCCGGCCTCCACGCACAGGTGAGTTTTATGACAAAAATAAGGGCACCCATTAGGTTCGAGGCCCCCTAGCAATCTTTTCTTAAAAGACCATCCTAAAGCCCGGCAGGCCTGTGAGCCAGGAGGTCACGGTTCGATTCCCCGTCAGGGCACATGCCCAGGTTTCAGGCTCAATCCCCAGTGTGGGATGTGTAGGTGGCACATAATCAATGATTCTCACTCATCATTGATGTTTCTATCTCTCTCTTTCTCCCTCTCCCTTCCTCTCTGAAATCAATAAGAATATATTTAAGGGAAAAAAGACCATCCTAAGTATTTAGGGTAGCAGTTCGCAATCTCAGGTGCACAGGAGTCCCCTGGGAAGCTTGGACACATGCTAACGCCCAGGCTGCACCCCAACCAATTAAACCAGAATCTCGGGGGCTGGGCCCTTTGCCAGGGGTGGGTATGTTTTCAGTTCCCAGGATGTGACCTAGTTGAGAACCACTGATTTATGGGCGGGGGATGGGGGGTGCGGGCACACAGTGTTGTTAAATGAACAAAGTTGGATACACAGTGCGCTTGTCAGAACCTGGTGAGCACTGTGGGAACTTTCCACAGAGGCCTGGGACCAGCCACCTGCCTCCCAGGACCTTGGACAAGGAAGGTCCTTAAACTTCCCGCCTCGCCTGCCAAAGGGAAAGCGAGGCCTCCGCTGCCTGGGATCAGACTCTCGAAGAGGAGGCACCCGCCCTCCTGGCCAGCCTTCTCCTCTGCAGTGGCCCGCCAGCGGGCAGGATGCGTGCCCTGCCCCAGGCGACCTCCCAGCCCCTCCAGGCACCAGGCAACCTCCCAGCCCCTCCAGGAGCCGCACTGTCGTCAGCCCCACTTCAGTCAAGGACATCGCCTCCGGGAGGGAGCGGCTTGGCCAGGATCCCGGAGGGAGCCTCAGGCTGGGGGACCAGACCCAGCTCACACCGGCTCCTTCTCCCCTGAGGCACAGCGCGCCTCTGAGGAGCACTTAGTGCTGCTGGATGTGGGAAGCAAAGTCCATGCGCTTGGGGCAAAGGGACAACTCGGAGCAACCATCTGAGATCAGTTAAGGAAACAAAATTCAGAGAAGCAGCAGGTGATTCATTGAAAAAATACTGCGGACAGTAGTTGAACAGGTGCTGCCCGGCAGGTGCCGCGCTGAAGGTCTGGGAAGCGGGCCATGCCTCCGAGTGCTCAGCCCTCAGCTCTGGGCCCCACGTCCTGCTCGGGCAGCACCAGTAAAGGCGTAAACAGCCCTCCCTCCCGGGATGGATGGAGAAGGTGAGAGCGGGCGTCTGAGCAGCTGAGAGTTACCCCAGCACTGACGGCTTCCTCTGTCCCCAAGGTTGGCGCCCGCGGGCACCGTTCCAGGGGGCGGGCTGTGAGCGAGGAGGAGCCCCCCCAGGACTGATCGGTCTGTCTCTCGGGCACACCTAGCCTGTCCGCGCCCACACGCCGCTCTCCAAACATTCTCTCAATAGACCGGAGTCCAGTCAAAACTCTGCCTCGCCCGGCCGGCGTGGCTCAGTGGTTGAGCGTCCACCTATGAACCAGGAGGTCACGGTTCGATCCCTGGTCAGGGCATATGCCCAGGTTTCAGGCTTGATCCTCAGTGTGGGGCGTGCAGGAGGCAGCCAATCAGTGATTCTCTCTCTTCATCGTTGTTTCTCTCTCTGAGAGTCTCTCCCTCTCCCTTCCTCTCTGAAATCAGTGAAAATATATATTTTAAAAGCCCACAAAACTCTGCCTTTAATTGACCCTTTCCCGGGAGTTTGCCCGCACACTTGGCACGAGCAGTTCCCCTCCGCCCCGGTGCCCGTGGGCAATGCCCGGCCAAGGAAGTGCACAGGGAGGCATTTCCTTACCCGGCGCCTGGGGTTGATTAAACAAAAGTGTCTTTTTCATCTCACCGTGTCTGGTGTCTGAAGAGCCAGGCTATGGGCCTCCATGGAGCCTGGGGACCCAGTTGGCCGCCAGTGCCAGCTGAGCCACGGGGCGACCTGTGCCTCTGCCCCCTCGGGGCTGGTTGAACTTGGAGTTCTCGAGGCCAGCCGTGGAGGCGGGTCGTCGGAGTTCTGGTTTCCTGGTTCTCAGGTTCCAGCCCCTGCTGCGCTGTGCTGCGCGCCTGGGCAGCCGCGGACCTTCCGGGAGTTTGTGAGCCACCGTCACAATGTTCACGTTTGATGTGAAGGTCTCCTTCCTCCCCCTTTAAGCTAAAGCGTCTGACGCGAGTCTCTCTCTCCAGGATGTGAGTCTAACTGCAGGCAGGAGCTGCTCTGTGGTTCTCCGGGCGATAGGTGAGCTCCCGACCCGCACGCAGACACGCAACCTGGGAAGGTGCTCCAGAGGTGATTCCACCTGCAGAGCCAGGCAGACGGAATAACGGATTTAGAGAAGGACAAACTCAGAGAGAGGAAGGATTCTTTTTTTTTAAATATATTTTTATTGATTTCAGAGAGGAAGGGAGAGGGAGAGAGAAACAGAAACATCAATGATGAGTAAGAATCATTGATCAGCTGCCCACTGCATGCCCCCCACCGGGGATCGAGCCCGCAACCTGGGCATGTGCCCCCGACCGGAATCGAACCCGGGACCCCCCAGTCCGCAGACTGACGGAGAGGAAGGATTCTTAAGCTGAATTGCAAATGGGGGCAAATCCGGATTTTGCCCGGGGAGGAGGGCAATCAGACCCCACAGACGCTGCCCACCTGGAGGCTGCTCTTCAGGGTGAGGGTGCCTTGGGATCGCTCCAGGATTGGAATTCTTGGGACGTGTCACCCTCAGATTCCCTCTGCTCTGAGACCACCCTGACGATTTAGAGCAGGGGGGGAACGTCCAGCCCTTGGGCTGTATAAGGCCTGAGAAATCATCCGGTCTGGCCCTGCCAAGGCCTTAGGGGTGAGTTCATAGAATGTTTGACCCAATTTCAGGCTAATGTTTAAGTTGATATTTTATATGGCCTGCAAATGATGTTATAAATATCCAAATGGCCCCCCCAGCGTGGCTCAGTGGGTGAGCGCCGGCCTATGAACCAGGAGGTCCCTGTTCGATTCTGGTCAGGGCACATGCCTGGGTTGCGGGCTCGATCCCCAGGGTGGAACGTGCAGGAGGCAACTGATCAATGATTCTCTCTCATCACTGATGTTTCACTCTCTCTCCCTTCCTCTCTGAAATCAATAAAAATCTATTTTTAAAAGCATATCCAATGGCCCTTGGAAGGGAGAAGGGTACCACCCTGCCTTAGAGGCATGTTGGGTCACAGGGAACGAAGTCCAACTTCCTAGAAGTCAGCTTGTGGGGGATGGTGAGGGCACTGCACTCAGGCCCCCGAAGGCCTCTCTTCTCTGATGGGGTTCTGTGTGTCCGGCCCGCCCCGACTTTTCCCCACAGGCTGATTGAGATATAATGTGCCTACTACCTAGTCCAACCACCAAGTGTCCGGGCCCATGGGTTTCAGCCGGATAACTGGATTGTGCAGTGGATTTACAGAGCGGTGCCACCATCCCCGTAATCTAATCTTAAAACATTTTATCGAGAGAAACCTCATGCCCATGAGCGGTCGCCCCCTGCCCGAACGCTCTTCCTTCTCCTCCCAGCGGGAGGCAACCGCCCGTCCGTGTCCGTGTCCGTAGGTTTGCGGATCCTGGACACTGGGGTAAATGAGGTTCTGGAATGTGTGGGGTCCGGGTGGCTGGCTGCTGTCACTTCGCAGGCCGTGGTGTGCGCTGGGGCTCCACCCCCTGTTCTTCCCTTGTCCGGAGATGCTGCGTTGGGTTGGTCCGTTCATCGGTTCCTGGACACCTGGGTTGTCTCCGCCTTTGGCTCTTGTGAACGATGCTGCTACGAGCATTCCTGGGCAAGTTCCCGCGTGGAGAGGGCCTCGTTTCCCTTGGGAGGGCCCTAGGGGTATAGATCAGCTGCCTCCTGCACATCTCCCACTGGGGATGTGCCTGCAACCCAGGTACATGCCCTTGACCGGAATCGAACCTGGGACCTTTCAGTCCGCAGGCCGACGCTCTATCCACTGAGCCAAACCGGTTTCGGCTCTATTTCACATTTTTTGAGGAAATGCCAACGTATTTTTCAGAGCGCTGCCCACGACTTTCCCACCCGCGATGCCCGAGGGATTAAATGTCCACATTGAAGCCAAAATTGATTGTGTGTGTGAACTGGTATGTTGTCATTTTGTTTGTTTAATTTTAGAGAGAGAGGAAGGGAGAGGGATAGAGAGACAGAAACATCCATGAGAGAGGAACGTCTAACGGCTGCCTCCTGCACGCCCCCTACTGGGGACTGAGTCCACAACTGGGGCATGTGCCTGATGGGGAATCGAACTGTGACCTCCTGCTTAATAAGTCGATGGTCAACCACTGAGCCACACCAGCTGGGCTTTTAAAAAAACCAAATTTGGGAAGTTTTCAGGCATTATTTCTATGAATATTTTTTCTCTCTGCTCCTTCCCTTTCTTATGATACTTTTCAACATCACAATCTTCATTTGGTCTTTTAAAAATAATTTCCATTTCTTTATTAACATTCTCGACTTATGAGTCATCATTGTCATACCTTCCTTTATCTTTTAAAAATATAGTTTCCTTTGGTTTTTAAAACATATTTATAGTAGGTTCTGCTGCCGGCCCCCCACCCCAACCGCCATGTATGAGTCACACTTTCCTGTTTCTTTCCTGTTAATTGTTTTGTTGAAACAGCTGCAAAGTATTTCTCAGAGTGGCTGTCCATTTAACGTCCCACCAACTGGGAACTTCAGGGTTTCCACGCTGACTCCCCTCCCGCCCTGGGCCTGGTTGTTGTAGCTATTGTTTGTTTGGCCATTTGTTTAAATGTTTAATTCTTACCCCATTCTGTGGCGTCTGGTACCTGGTTTGTGTGCAGTGTGCAGCTTTCGATGTCTTTGCTCAGATTTTTTGGGTTTGGTTTGGTTTTTGTTTAAATCATATGTTTTGTTGATTTCAAAGAGAGGAGGGGAGAGGGAGAGAGGGACAGAAATATCCCCCCTACTGGGATTCGAGCCGGCAACCTGGGTATGTGCCCTGACCGGGAATCGAACCGTGGCCTCCTGGTTCATAGGTTGACGCTCAACCACTGAGCCACACCGGCCGGGCTGTTTTGTTTTCCTCACTTCGGTCTTGCTCTGACTACAGGGAATGAGTGGGGTCCTAGGAGGACTCTTGCTGGCTGTCTCTCTCCCTTGTCTCTCTGCTCAGTGTATGGCTGGTCTGCTGTGCTGCTGGTTTCTACTAGCATCGTGCGCAAAATGTGCTTTGGGACACCGTTTCTGAGGAGCCATTTTTCCCGATGTCAATACAGAATCACCAACAATGCAGAAAGAGCGAAGATATGCTCACCCGGGCACAGAAGCCAGTGGCAGAGCCGAGCTAAGGGAGACAGTAACGTGTGCTCTCGGCAGCTGTGGGCAGGCTGGGGGTGTGCCAGCGCCTGACACAGCAAGCAGAGGGCACTGCCCACATCAGACTCCAGAAAGCTCTCTGACAGGTGTGCCACCTGCGTCCTTTGTGCCACCCTGTCCTCTCTGTGCCCGTGGAATACGCCATTGAAGCCAGCAGGTCTCTGAAAAGAAGCAAACTCAACACAGGCAGCTTCTTCGCTGCTCGTAGAATTACACACGGACTCGGAGAGCTCCCCTCCGCCCTCCAGGCCAGGAGCTGTTCTTATCGCTCCCGACAACCTGCTCCCTGAATTCACTCACCGCTTGGGTTTGTCATTGCTGCTCTGGTTGGTCCTTTTGCCCTTTGGGGTGTGCTGTTCAGAAACAAGACCTTCGTTGGATCGTTTCTCTATAATCTAAAGAAAATGTGCTTTATCTTGTCTTTAAGGCCACGCTCAACCTTGGCGTAATACCTGCGCACTTCACAGTGGAGGCCTTTATCCCCGAATTGTACCGCTGCCACCAACAAAGGCAGCTGTTTGCCAAACCATACAAGGAGGACCTTTGGGTGTCGTTGAGAATGAAAGTCCTTTCTGCCCGGGGCCGTCCTCCCCCTTCTCCGGTCGGGGAGGCTGTTTTTCTGCAGCCCGTGGCTCACCTGGGCATCGTATGTTCCACAGTAAGGGGGCTCCTTCTGCCGCCACCCAGAATGCATTTCACCCGCCTCCTGGCTCTGGGAGTACACCCTGCCACTGTTTAACTGTGCAACCTTGAGCAAATCACTCATGAATGGTTATATTATGAGTTCACAGGGCACAGACTCTATTCTAAGCACTTAAACATATGTTTTCTTACTCCTCATAACAATCCAATGAAGTTGGTCGTTAAAAATCTCCATTTTACAAATAAAGAAAGTGAGACGCACAGTAACTTGCCCTAAACCACTGAGCCAGGTAGTAACACAGCCAGGATTTGAACCCAGGGAGTCTGGGCACCTGCACCATTGTGCCCTGTGGCCTCAGGGCGACGTTGAATCTGAGCATCACCTGCAACATGAGCTGGTTGACCAGATGTCTTCCAAGATCCCAAGTAGCCCGTGATGCTCAGCCTAGCTCGGGAGGAGGGCTTGGGGAGAGTGAACCAACCTCCCCGGCCTGTTCCTTACGCTGGACCATCCCAAACCTCCCACCAGGTGCACATTCCTCAGTCGTTACCGGCAGCACCGTGGCCACTCCACGCATCTCCCGTTCCCTGGGATAGTTTTTGTGTTACACTCACTTTTTTTAATCCCTAGACCCTTACCAAGGACCATGAGAAGATAAAGGGTGAATAAGGGTCTTTTACCTGACACATTGCACATCTGACGGGGCCTTTAAACTAGGAGGGTGTCCATGAAAGAGGAGAAGGGACCCCTCCATGCATCCCACCTGAGCCATGCCTGATAAGAAAGTGCCATTCTCTGGACTCCTAAAATATCAGCATGTTTTTGAAAATATGCGGTTTTTACTAACCTTCTCCCGAAGGCTCAATTTCAAAACAGAGACCCTCAAACAGACTCATATCCTGCAAGTGGAAAAACTGGCCCTCATTGAAAGGGTCTACATAGGAGATATCTTACTGCCCAAGCCAATGAGTGGTGGTGGTTAAAGAATGAGAAGGGGAGCCTGGTCGGCGTGGCTCAGTGGTTGAGCATCGACCTATGAATCAGGAGGTCACGGTTCAATTCCCGGTCAGGGCACTTGCCCTGGTTTCGGGCTTGATCCCTAGTGTGGGGCGTGCAGGAGGCAGCCGATCAATGATTCTCATCACTGATGTTTCTATCCCTCTCTTCCTTCCCCTTCCTCTCTGAAATCAATCCTATATAGTAAAAGGGTAATATGCAAATTGACCCTAACAGCAGAACAACTGGGAATAACTGGTCACTATGACACACACTGACCACC